CTTCATCATCTCATCAGATCCTCACAGCAACCCTGGTTGGCTGTGTAATGGCAGCATCAACCCCATTTTACAAGAGAGAAACCGAGGCAGGACAGGTACCATACTCAGGGTTCATCCCAGCCACACCAGACTCCAAGTCCAGTGCTCTTTCTCCATCACCAAGTTGCTTCTCAAGGAGCAACAAATTCAAGGACCGATCCCCTTCATCTTATTTCCTTCTTGTGAACTCTGTCACCTTTTCTGCCCAGTCTACCCTTGTTGCCTGTGAGAGATGGCATCTGAGGGCTCAGAGCAGGTGCCCAGGGCAGAATGGGATCAGAGCAAACAGGGGCCTCTAAGTTCTGGCCTACACCCTCTCCCGGCTGGGTCTGCCTCTGCAAGTCTATAAATTCCATTATTCATCAAGTGACTGTGTGAGTTTGCCCAGACGATGAATATTTTATTCACCTCCAGACACTGTCCCCAGCGGGTTCTTGGAACAGTATTATTCCCTAGCCAAGGAGTAGAGGCCAGAGCCTCTGCCCTCCCTGGACAGCCACTCCCCACTTTATGCACCTCCCACCTCCCCAGCAGCCCCCCAGCTCAAGCAGGGCTGCTGCCAGCAGTTCTGGCATGACCTTGAGCTTGGTGCTTGCCTTCCCTCCACTTCGATTTCCTCCCCTGGGCAATGGGTTCATTAATTGCCTTGTTGGGCTTTCAGTGTCTCTCAATAACTTCACCCTACTCGTCAGAGCCCTTGACTGCGGGCTCTGCCAGGAGCTCTCCCTGGTGCTGAACATGAGTGGTGAGTGAAGTGAGGCCTCAGAGGAGTGGTCTCCTGGCTGAGGAGCGTGGGGAGCATACTGATTTTGACAGGAGAGAGCTCCAGGGTCTAGGAGGAAAGGGTCCAGGCTCTAGATAAGGTGGTCTCCATTTCTTTCCCACTGCATTCCTGTCACTTTGTGGATTCTCTCAGAGTCACAGGTGGGTTCAGCACCCTATGTCTTCAGCACCCTGAACCAAGTGAGGTCCATGGAGACCCTTCTTAGGAGGGGTCCACAAGCCTCCCAGTGACACCCTGAGGAGTGCAGTATGATGGCAGCAGCACTTTCCCCAGATGGGGGAGCGACAGACATAATTCACACCTTGCAATCATGCCATCTGCTCCCCTGTGAAGTGCAGAGAAGAGGACGGGGCTGCAGTGTTGAAGGGTGGGTGATCGTTCGTTTGTTTGTTCATTTATTTATTTATTCATTCATTCATTCGTTTTCTCATTCATTCATTAAGCAGATGTTCATCTAGCCCCTGTCTCCTTTCTAAGCCAGGCACAAGATATAGGGGAGGCAGACCTAGACACTGCTTCTCAGAGCTGAGGGGTGGTCAACTTCTGAGCTTCTATCCACCTGGCTCCGCTTCCTCCTGAAGTTCCCTTTACTCATAGTAAGAGCCCCCATGTTCTGTGCACTGAGCACTCACATGCAGGATTTAAGCATTCACTACGGGGGCTAGATGTTCCTATTTAACAGGTAAACTGAGGCTCAGAAAGGTGAGCTTAGACACCCAAAATCACATACCCAACTCTGGGTTCTCCATTCAGAGATCTTACTGCTCATGGCACTGTGTCTCCTACCTCATGTCAAAGACTTTTTCAAGCCCAGCCTCCATGTCCTTTCTCTGTAAAAACTGCCCTCTCCTTCTCCACCACCCTTCAGCGGACAGTGAGCTGCGGCCTCAGCCATGCTGCCTAGCCCTCTTGCTCTGTGGGCGTACAACACTTGATCTGTGAGCCCAGATATAAGCAGCTCCCCTTCAACCTCTCACTCTTGGCCTGGCTTGTTCACAGAACCTTGCACCTGGGGCTGCCCAGTGACCCCAGGTGCACAGCAGTGGAGGGCTAGGGAAATTGATGATGGTTCACAGAGGCAGCATTTCTCCGAGCCTGAAAAGGCAGGGAGAGGTCAGTATAGCTCAGAGCTTGGACCCTACAGCCCTGGCTCCTGTCCCAACCCAGCTTCCACTCTGGGCTTGAACTTCCAGCACTGCCTCATAAGGCTGCATGTCTCAATCTTGTCCCTCCAGTGGGGACAAAGACAAACTGCCTTCAGAGATTTGGGGGACTCAGCAGGTTACATTGCACAGCCCAAGTGTAACCCATGTACCCATCTGAGAAGGGGAAGCAGGTGCAGTTGGTGGCATGTGGAAGCCCCATAGGCCCACAGCCAGCTCTGTGGGACTTGGCTTTGCACTAGGGGAGAGGACAGGGACTAGCCTGAGTCACTAGGGGACTGGGATGTCAGGGATGGCCCAAGTAGTGGGGTGCACTACGGCCTTGTGGCTATTATCCCCAGCAAGTCCTGTCCCTTTGACCTGGTGGAGTCTGCACCAGGGAGCAGCCTGGTACAAGGTGGACAGCCTGATCCCTCGGCCACAGACCAAGGCTGAGGTCTAGGAGAGGCCCATGTCAGACCTGCAGAGCCTGGCCATGCACTGTAAGCCCACCCACTTGATTTTTGTTTGATTATCTCAGAGACTGTTTTTGCCCCATTCTTTGAAAATTCTCCACCAGGGCAGCAAGGCTGGGAGCTGCAGAGGATGCAGCAAGAGCTAGCTGTCCCTCTGTCAGGCAAGTATCAACGTGCTCTGTGGCAGCCTCTTGGGGAATCACCAGGAGCTGGGTTTCCCACAGAAATTCAGCAGATTCCAGCCCACACTCCCTCGGCACAGGGGTCCTGATTTAGAACCAGTTGGCCTGGGCTGGTGCAGCCTGGCCTCTCAGTAAATACCACAAGAGTGAGCTGCTGCAGCTCACACTCTCAATCAATATGTAGCAGCTATAATTATTATTAATTCATATTCCTTGGGGAGATTTTCATGCTAATAGGAAAGTCCCAAGAGGTACAGGGGAGCACTGCTAGGCACCTCTCATATGTGACATCGTTTCATCCTCACAGCTGCCTGGGAGGTAGCATTGCCACCCTCACTTCATGGGGAGGAAACTGAGGCCCCAGGAGGTTAAGGGAGGTGATTAAGGTCACACAACAAGGAGGTGGTAGATGCAGAAGGCCCAGGTGTGTCTGGCTCCGAGTTCTGAATTCTTTCATCCTCTCACTCCTCTGCTCCACTAGAAGACCTGAGAGAACTCAAAGCACTCAGCTCCAATCGTGGAACATCAAACAAAGGGACAGGTGGACGAGGAGGACTTCAGGTTTGGACTTTCTCTCATACCCTCAGCCCCAGGTCCTAATGGGCACCAATTGGTCCACAGAGGTTGGTAAGACAAATAGCTGGGGTGCTTTTTGGCTCCTTTGCAGGTTTTGGATGCTGCTGGGAGCCTCCTCCAGAGCTGTTCCTAAGAAGTTCTGGGGCCCAGGCCTGGCTCAGCCCTGCTCAGCCAAGGCTGGCATTTCTCCCTGAGCCCCCTCTCCCCAGGCCCTAAAACAAGGCTGTGATTAATCAACAACAAAAGCAGAGACAAGCAGAAAACTGTAATCAGCTTGAGAAGGGCAGGGATGAGCAGGACTGTGGCAAGCAGCTTTCCCACTGAGGCCATTGGCTGATTGGACCAAAGAGGGCAGAGAGAGGTGGTTCCAATCTGGCCTCCAGGGGCAGGGTCCACACTTGGAGCCACAGCAAGGCCAGGGGCTTATACCCTCCCCCATAAATATACATGAGCATCTGTGTGCACATGTCCATGTCACTCTCAGCCCAAGGTCTACACACCACCCCCTCCCACCTGCTCAGTCTTCTGCCAGCCAGCTCCTGTCCTCCCCTCTCCTGCCAGCTCACAACCTTGGCACATACAGGTGTCCACACACTCCCGACCCGCATCCATCTGCATGTAGACTTGCAAACACTTGTATGCATTTTTTGTGGATAACAGATATATGCGTACAGATGCCTCCTCATCCAGATGTGCACACATGTTCTGGGGCCTGGGTGAACCTCGCACACACATTTGGTCTAACCTGCAGCCATCCGAACTGACAGGCCCTCAAACCAGTCCTTGCAGACACCCAGCCACCTCTCTGTCCCTCAATGCCCCCTGGGCCATGAGACAGACCTTGGCTCCCCCTCTGCAGGCTGAGGGGTTGGGGCTTGGGAAGAAGCCAGAAATGGGCTCTTTGGTGGGGTGGCCGGGGCAAGGTCAGCTAGGAGGTCCCAGCCACAGGCCTGGGGAGTCTACCCCAGACCCGACTCAGCTCCTGCCTGCCACCTCTGCCTCATGACCTTGGTCAGCGCCCTTCTCTTTCAGCCTCAGTTTCCCCACCTTGGAGCCTCTCTTGGCACCAACATTGAGTGATTGTCCTCGAAGACCCAGCCCTGGGGCCGACCTCACCTCGTTGCTAAGTCTCTGGTCCTCAGTTCCCTGCTCTTAGTTCGCAGGGTGTGAGGGTGCGCTAAGGGACAGAAAGAAAGGGCCCCACCCCCACCTTGGTCCCGGTGGCTGCGGACTTGGGTGGGGGGACGAGTCATCCTCCACAGGGGAAAAGGGGAACCCGGGGCGAAGGGGAGCAAAAGCCCCCAGAGGGCTTGGGGCGGCCGCGCAGGGGCCGGCGGCTGGAAGGGGCGG